TAGATTGTCTTTTAAATGTTCTTAGGCAATCATTACAATTTTTACAACACGTAAACATTTATTAAACTTTTAGTAAGTTGTGTTACCAAAATAAGTTCTAGATGGTCAACAATCTATCAGTAGATATGTAACAAATCTTCAACAGATGTTCAACAAAGTATTAGTAGATATGCAACAAATCCTCAACATTTATTAAACTTTTGATCAGTTACATGCTACCAAATTAGGTTGTAGTGTATTACAGTGTATTAGTAGATATGCAACAAATCTTAAACAAGTTTTCAGAAAATTTACCATCAAGATTTTTTTGTTGTCAGTGTCTGCATGTAGTTGTTAATCAGCTTATCATTAGACTTTTAGTAAACATTCAGATGCCTATAAGAAGCAACACAACATAATTTAAAATGAACTTTAAACAAATATAAAGTTAGGGTTAGGTAAAAATTTCATACATGCATTTGCAAAAGTCTTCAACTAACTATTCGTTACATTTAACCCAACTTTCAGTAGACAGTTAGTTTACATTAAGTTACATTTATCTGCTCATCTGTTGTCACACTAGGCCAATCAATATGAAGTGAAAAATTAAGAAATGCTGGTGAATGACTGTAAGGAGCCAACATCACAGACAGCATGGTTACTATTCTGTAAATGTTCAGCAGATAGTCAACAGACAGGTAGTAGCAACACTGATGCAAGTATTTGAAGATAGACACAACAGCACCACACATACAAGAACATAAAATAAATACCAGAGTCATTAGTTCATCCAACTGCTTTTAATGTATTGCTGTCAAAAAACAAAATAAACAGCCCAGATAATTAAGCTGAGGAAAACATTCACTTCAGGACAACTAAAAACAATTGTTACATTTGAAGAGTTCAGATGCAAAACCTTTAATTGCCATATAACATTTATTCATTCATTTTTTTCAGCTTAGTCCCTTTATTAATCAGGGGTCGCCAAAGCAGAATGAACTACCAACATATTTAGCATATGTTTTATGCAGCAGATGCCCTTCCAGCTGCAACCCATCACTGGAAAACAACCATATACACTCATTCACTCATTCACACACTCATACACATTAGCCTACCCAATTCCCCTGTACCACACGTTTTTGGACTTGTCAGGGAAACCAGAGCACCCAGAGGAAACCCACACAAACATCGGGAGATGATCAGCACAGAAACACCAACTGACCCAGCCGAGGCTCAAACTAGTGACCTCCTTGCTGTGAGGCAAACATGCTACCCACTTCACCACCATGCAGCCACCATATACATTTTTTTTTCTAAAATGAATATTTTTTTTAAGTCTCAGTTCTGCAATTAAACTTTTTTTGTGGCAAATATTTTTTTCATTATCTTTCAAACAGTAGGCTGAAAAAAAAACTAATTTTAGAAAAACAATTCAAATGGTGGGCAACGTGGTGGCGCAGAGGGTAGAATGTTCACCTCACAGTAAGAAGGTCGTTGGTTCGAGCCTCAGCTTGGTCAGGCGGGATTTCTGTGTGGAGTTTGCATGTTCTCCCTGTGTTCGCGTGGGTGTCCTCTGGGTGCTCCGGTTCCCTCCACAAGTCCAAAGACATGTGGTACAGGTAAATTGAGTAGGCTCAAATATGTGTGTGCTTGGATGTTTCCCAGTGGTGCATTGCAGCTGGAAGGGCATCTGCTGTGTAAAACATGGATGTTGCTGGATAAGCTGGTGGTTCATTCCATTGTGGCAACCCCAGATTAATAAAGGGATTAAGCTGAAAAGAAAATTAATTATTTTAGTCGGAATTTTAAAAATTTGCATCCGATGTCAATATTTTTTTTTTCCTTTGGCATTACAGTTGAAGTCAGAATTATTAGCCCCCCTGTATTATTAGCGCCCCTGTTCATTTTTTTCCCCCAATTTCTGTTTAATGGAGGGGAGATTGTTTCAGCACATTTCCAAGCATAATAGTTTTAAAAACCCATTTCTAATAACTTATTTATTTTATCTTTGCCCTGATGACAGTAAATAATATTTGACTAGATATTCTTCAAGATACTTTTATACCACTTAAAGTGACATTTGAAGGTTTAACTAGGTAAATTAGGTTAAATAGGCAGGTTAGGGTAATTAGGCAAGTTATTGTATAACGATGGTTTGTTTTGTAGACTATGCCAAAAAAAAAAAAAAAAAAAGCTTAAAGAGGCTCATAATATTGACCTTGAAAAATGTATTCGAAATAAAACAAATAAGACTTTCTCCCAGAAGAAAAAATATTATCATACCTGTGGTAGCAAAAAAAAAATATATATATATATTTTTAAATAAGTACTTTTTCAAGATAATACCTCAGACTCGTTGTTTAGAAAAAGTACAAATTTTAGCTTACACTTAAAATCAAAACAAAGTATTTACTATTAGTGTTTATTATGTATCATTATCTGAAGACAAGAGGGTAAAATGTAGCTTTAAAAACTGTGACCCTGACCATGACCTGACCATGTAATTTAATCCAATCACAGAAACTCAAACCGACCAATCAGCAAGTGTCTGCTACCCCCCACTGTGCAAGAGGTGTGAAAAGAAGCAGGTCTCTAGCAACACCTCAACTTTTGTATTGCTTTTTGTTCTTTTCTCTTCTATGTTTGAACTTTGAACTGAACTTTGAACACCTTGAACTCTTGAAACACTGAAATTGTCATTTCTTTAGATTTTTAAAAAAAAATGTACCATTGACAATTGCGGTGAAATCTTTGATGCCACTGATGGAGTAGACGGGGGCTGGGGCTGGGCCTCAAGTTGTCTTGTCTCCATCACCTCCTGAGCAGGTACAGTAGGGGCAGGTTGTTGCACCGTTTGTGCTGGAGCAGCAGAAGCAGTACTATGCTGAAAATAATTACAAAAATACATATAATCATAAAAAAGGAAAGACATTCTAGTAAATAAAAATAAACACGTATTGATCCAAAAATGTGAAAACCACATGTGCATTTTAGCACACCTCCAAGCAAAGTCCTCTGCCCACGAGATTGCAATGGGCATTTCTCAATCTGAAAAAATCATGAAAAATATAATAAATAATTTTACACAATACAAAAAACTTTTATAACTAAACAAGAATTTTAACTCAATGACTCCCTTAATAAAGCACACAATAGCTCCGTAAATTAATTTACCACTGTTTCTAGAATGTGTTTAATATTTGTCTAATATGTAATCGTACAGTTTGTATCTCCAAAAACGAAAAGAAGAATAAAAGGAACTGGACAGAAACATTTCAGGCCTTAAAACCACATGCTGTATACTGTACACTCATAATCCCTTCCCCCACCTTTTCAGATCTCTCTCATAAATGGTCAAACTTACTAAATCATTCAAAGTAAATCTCAAAATACATGCAATTTAAAACACTTTAATATTTAAAAACAAGTATGACATGTTTTACACAGATACTGTACTGAATGTACTGAAGCCTAACAAGTTAACGTTACTCTGTTAAGCAAATTTCAGCAAACGTTATATCATGTAAATGAAATACACACCCTTTGATAAATCTCATGCCACTTTTTTTGTTGAGGAGCTGGCCTGTTGCCCTCATTTGATGGCCAAACTCCTGTGCTGGCAAACTTTTTCAGATGTGAAATCCAGTCAGCGTCTGACATGGCTTTATGAGATTTTTCAGACATTTTTCTCCTATAAATTAAACGGTTTTGAATTAAAGTATCCAAATTTGAAATACAACATACTAAAACATTCATTCGTGCAATTGTGTAGTTTTTCCTACCTTTTTTAAGAAATCACTATCGGAAAAAATCCTTTACTGTAAGCAAAACGATGCTGTGCTCTGTCGATCGATGCTGTTCGTTGAATATCACTGATGGTCAATGAACTTTTTTGACCTCTGACCCGCCTCCAGAGGACCGCGTCATTCCTTCGTGTACCTTCGGCTCAGTTCGGAAAATTGATTGACATCTGACTAACCTGTTTGACTGCACACCTAGCGGTGATTCTTGGAACAGTTCCTACCCCCCGGCTTCAACATTGTCTCGACTCTGATTGGTCAAATGTTGAAAATGTTGAGAATTCCGGTCCACGATTGGATGCAAATGTTGAAGCGCTGCAACGTGATTGGCTACAATGTTGGAGCGTATCGCTCCGATTGGCTCTCATCTTCAACATTTGTGAAATATTGTCGGACTATCCTTCGGCAGCTGGCGTTCAGGTCGCAGTCTCCCCTGGAGGCGTGGGTTCGAATCCCACTTCTGACAAACTGAGCCTGCGGCGATGCGCTCAGGCTGAAGTCTTTAACTCCCTGCCACCATGTCCGAATGATACAGTAACACTGACAAAACGCCGCATCACGCGGGCTTTAATGCAAGTGCACCGAAAGGGGATCAAAAGAATTGTCCTGGGATGGCGTTGATTTTTAAGGTTTGCAGGGCATTTTTTCCTCAAATCCTCGTACAACGTCAAGTCATGGCATTTGACAGATCCACGACCTTGTATCCTGCATCCAGGCCAGTGGTGCTTCAAGTATTTGTAGTCTTTTTTTATAGAGCTGTCTTGTACGGTCCGCATCGTGGAGGGCCAGCAAACGCACTGGCCACCTGCTCATGCACAACACAAAGCTAAAAGAAATCAGATTCTACGCAAGTTTGCGACACCGCGAGGGGAGGTAAACACTGAGTTGAATTCAAACTTCTAGCCTCACAAGGCTCTGCAGAAAGAATGTTTTCAGTGAACATCAGTACTCAACAGAAGCCTGATTTGACAATTGTCGTAAAAGCCAGAGGTTGTTTCCACCCAGTTTCGAACTGGGGACCTTTCGCGTGTAAGGCGAACGTGATAACCACTACACTATGGAAACCCCACAAGTGCTCTCACCAGCGAAGTTAGGCGTGCAAGGATAAAACAAGGTGTACGCGTTTGTCAATCAAGCAGACAAAGCCATCAAGCTAACACCCATCTCTTCAGAGTACACCCGAACCCCGGTGAATATCCCTCTCTCTAAAGAAAACGACACTCCTACTCCAGTGTAACGGGTGTCCCATCAGCAACACACCCGTCCATAATAACTCAGGTCTTGGACACAATAAAGGAAGCCATCCACCATTGCACTCAATCAGATTTATTCTCTCCGTCTGAGATAAAACTGAGATAAAACAAAGATATGTAATGCAGGAAAGTGCAGCATTAACATTCAGCTCTCTCTCTTTCACAGTCACACCGATCTCTGTGAATGTACATTTTCTTAAACTCAAAAACATAACATATAAAAATTTATAAACAACATACCTGAGATAAAACAAAGACATGTAATGCAGGAAAGTGCAGCATTAACATTCAGCTCTCTCTCTAAAAGGGAAAAATACAAAATCTCTCTCGTTGGGCTCTTGTATGAAACTTTAAAATGCATTAGCAATGTAATGCTTCAGCTAGCAACACACAAATCATCTAAATCGTAAAAAAAATAAACATTAGGAAATCAAAACATGAACTAGTGTATTATTTAAACAACATACACATCTGTTTCGCTCGATGAAATTATATAAAATTGTTTATATCATCTTTTTTTTTAAATTAGTTTGCGAGAGAGAGAGACGAGCTGCGCTTACCTTTCACAGTAACACCGATCTCTGTGAACCTACGGTAAGCGCAAAGGAACAATATTCTCCTGCAATTTATTTACCACAAGGGGGCACTCAAATACCATCTTATGTATAATGCCTAATTTCATGTCATTCACTCTGATGAATTATATCATCTTATCTTTTCAACTCCGTTACATTCACCCCCACTGAATTACATGAAATTTAGGCATATCCAAAATTAAGAAAACAATAACAGATTATCAACATCTCATATCAATGGAGAATTTCCCATAAAAGGACAGTCAAAATTCAATTATCCCATAAGGACAAAGTGATAAGAGAGTAGCGCTAAGCCTTCATATCAACAATCGACAGTGAAACATCTACATACATTCCACCAAATCCTCCTAACCTCATGCATTGTCAGAATACAAATGCAAATAAAGGGAAAATAAAACATTGTAATAAACATACAGTAAGACAAATAAAACTGCCCCTCATAGAAGTCAACCAATACACATCTACTACCTCAGGTATTTGATTTGAACATGAACCATAGACCTATAACTCGTCCATATAAACTGAAAAAATTAAGGGAAAATAAACCCTCTCTTAAACCTATATGTAGACTGCTAATTTGCAAGAGCACGTAACAGAGACCTACAAGCAGCTTCTACATTTTGCTTTGCATCTTGAATGACAGTCTGACCTGACATTGTTTGAATCAAACGATCAACTGGCTTAATAACACGACCAAAGCGTGATCTCACCTGTGTGACAAGTGTAGAACTTGGTGGTACATTCAAACTGTCAATTATGTGCGTGTTTGTAGGAGTATGTGAGCTGGAATGGGTAGACCAGACTGTCCCTGCGTCTGAATTCTGCACATTTGAACTGCCAGGTGCTTCATATCCAGAGACGGATATTGTCACTTCATTGGACAAATCAGAAACAAGACTTCCTGATGTAGCAGGAGTTACTGTAGTACCAGGAACTGTCAGAACTTCACTCAGTGCTTGATCGGAATTAGATTGAACACATTCCTCAGGCAGGTCTGAAACCCAGCTAATGGTTCTGTCTCTGGCACTAGATTCCTGAACAGATATAGAATCCACATGGTCACAGTCATTGATGACATCATCCTGTATGGATGGAACCCTGCCTCCCATCATCACTGATCCTTCCAAGTCAACTCCATTACAGCCATCCTCTTCATCATCAGACACTTCCACATCCCTTTCTACAGGATCATTGCCAATGGCACTTGAGCAGAGGACAGAAGGTGAGTTTTGACAAGAATCAGATACAACAGACATCTGATCCGACTGAGGGATTTCTACATTCACAGGTAAGAAATTTACTACCAACAGCAGGTTCCGATGGACCACTTTTTCCTGCCCTGTAGATGGATTATGGATTCGGTAAGTATGTGTGTCTGGTCTACAATCCACAACAGTATAAACTGTTGACTCCCACCTGTCAGCGATTTTCTTTTTGCCCCTTTCAGTTTTGTTTGCCAGGAGTACTTGGTCACCTATCTCAATGATCAACCCCTTCACCTTTCGGTTGTATATCTCTGCAAGTCTTCGTTGCTCTTTCGTAACATGTTCATGTGCGATTAAGGATGCCTCTTTCAGGTCTTTTAACAGAGTGGAAACAAATTTGTCACAACTTGTTACAGTAGGGTCATCCAAAACGGAACGAAAAAGAATGTCAATAGGTAAACGAGGCACCCGTCCGAACATCAGATAAAAGGGAGCATATCCTGTGGTATCGTTTATGGTGCAGTTATACAGGAATGAGAGAGTCTGCAACCGTCTAGGCCAATCTCTTTTTACATCTGGTGACAAGACTCTGATCATATTTCCAAGGGTTCTGTTAAAGCGTTCTACACTTCCATTACCCATCGGGTGATACGGTGTGGTATGTGACTTACTAACCCCAGAAACCCTTAAAAGCTCACGGATTAACTTGCTTTCGAAACATGCCCCTTGGTCACTATGGATCCGCTCTGGAAGACCATAAACGCAAAAGTACCTGTCCCATAAAACCCTGGCAACTTGTTTGGCGGACTGGTCTCTACACACAAAGGCTTGTGCCAGTCTTGTAAAATGATCGGTTGCTACTAAAACGTCAACAGACCTGTTACTGGAATCTTCCGCTGACCAGAAGTCTATGCATACAAGTTCTAATGGTCTACTTGTTGAAATGTTCTCCAAGGGGGCTCTTCCAGAAGGATCTGTAGTTTTGCTCACAGTGCAGCGGTAACATTTGTGTACATATTCTCTTAGAGTTCCTTCCATGTTCAGCCAAAAGAATCGCTGCCTGGCCAGGCTAATTGTCCAAGTCTGTCCTTGATGGCCACAATCATCATGGATTCCTTTCAGAATCACTTCTATCAGGGACTCAGGGACAACATACTGATAGCGTTTTGTTTTGGACAGTTGATCACGAGACACTCTGTATAACACACCATTCCTGACAACCAGTTTC